CAAGTCTCAAGGTTGAGGATCCGTGACTGGAAGACTTATCTATTCTTTCTATTTTATTTCAAAATAGGATATTATCACTTCCGTAAGTATTAATGGATTAATAGATAGTGGATTTTGGTTTAGGGGTCCTTGAGTTACAGGATTCCCGAGTTGTAAATTTTGGAAAATTATTAATGAAACTTTTATTTAATAGATTCCCTTCAGCGAGTTATTTATTCTTTTTATTTTTGTAATCTGTGCTTGTTTAAATACTTTAATTGTTTTGATATCCTCTGATTTTGTGCGCGGACTTGATCAACCCGTGTTCCGAAATTAGGGGGTATCACAGCGTTCTTCACATTCTCATATTTCCAGGTTAGTTCTTCTTTTCTTTTTTCCAATCCTACATTATGAGTACTTCGACTACTCCTGAACGTATAGAAATTGCAGACTCTGAGCCCACGCCCTCGTCTCTCCCTAATCTCATTAGGGTTCCTCCTCCTAGGGTTTCGAACTTTCTTAAGTCTGCAAATGACTCGGTTAATCAACCAGATGTTTCCCCAATCCAGGCTGAGACATCCACCTCTAGGTCGGACAATATTATTACTGAGGAAGAAAGAAACGTAATTTTATCTGTTCGTCGTATCAAGTTTTCCATTGAATCCGTAATGGAAGATTTTGAGATTCCCGAGGGGGTAAAAATTGTAGAATACCCCAAGGGCACTGATTTTTGTGTCAGCAAGGGCGTCGGAAAAGACGAGTTGCTCATTTCTGTTGGGCATCTTAACGCTCTTAGATTCCCCCTTCGTCATTTTTATCATTTAGTCTTTAATAAATTGGGGATTGCACCCCTACAAGTAAACCCTAACTTCATTCGAGTAATCTCGGCACTCCTCATTCACCGATGGCTGGAGAGTCTTGACCTGACTCTGGCTGACTTGCTGATCACTTGCACTATTTCTAAGCATGGAACCGAACTTGGTCGTTTCTATTTCACCTCTCCCTTGCACCAGAGGATATGTACAGACCTCTCTACTTCTAAAAAGAAGTGAAAAGAGAGGATGATAATTGTTAAAGGGAGATGGGCCGTACCTCAATCGAGCAAACTCCCAATCCCACACAAGTTCGGGAAGTTAGGTATAAAACGTCCCCCTTCTCTTCATGAAGATTGTTTTGGCTGTTTCCCATGTCGAGTCTTATTTTTTCGGTATATTTATGAGTTTCTTGGTGTTTTTTCAGTGACATTCCCTTCCTCTGCTGCTAAGAAGATGCTTTCCATCATTGAAGAGCAGGTTTAGAAGGACCCTCCTTCTGTTGAGGACTTGCTTACCTCTGCAAACCTTAAAGCAGTTGCTTCCAGAGCCGTAGCTGCAGATCTCATGGACCTCTTACTTTTATCTTTTGATAGCTTCCCCATGACTGAGGAAGAAAAACAAAGGGCTGAAGCCTTAAAGAGAAAGGCTGCGGAAAGTGCCCCATTGACTATATTGCGCTCAAACGAACAGGAGAAGGAGATTGATGTAATTCCTCTTAACAAGAAGGCGAGGTTAACTTCTTCTTCAACCACGAAATCCAAGGGTGCTTCCAACCCAAAAAGTAAAGGGAAGAAGGCTGAAGAGACTAATCTTGAAGAGGAGGTCAGAGCTTACGTCCTTGCTGAGGTTGGAGCACCTTGGACTCGTTCTTTCTCGAGAGCTGACAAATCAGTCCTCCATACCGGTGATTCTATGATCACTGATCCATCTACGGCGCTGGCTGTTGCTCGTGGAATGTGGCTCCCCAAGGATGAAGAGATTATTGGTAGGATGGGATTGGAACAGCTGCTCCCTTCTGCCCCCATTCGAGCCATAGAGGTTTGCTCCTCCCCTCTTCTTCTATTGTCGTAATCATCTCACCAATTTTCTTATATTGTTATTGTTTCTATCTGACAATGCAGGGCCTATACCACACCATGGCTCTTTGTGCCACCGCTAAGGCTCAGTCTCTCTCCATTCAGAAGTTGGAGAAAAACCTCAGCAATTCTGAGAAGAAGGCATCATATGCCATTGCAAATGCACAAATTGCATATGAAGCTAGGGATGTTTATAAGAAGCGTCTGGCTACTTCTGATGCAAAAGTGGAGTCGCTGGAAACTAAGGTCTAGCGTTTAAATGATGCTCTTAGCACCTGTATCATTGCAGGGAGGCAGATGCAGGGGCGTTACTCCAGTTTAGTGCGTTTGTCTAGCGCTAAAGCCTATAGGTCCGGCTTCAATCAAGGTTCAGGCGAGAAAATAACAGATCCTGAGGCTTTTATTACTCATATGGGGGTGTCTTTCCCTTATGACGAGGGTCCGAAGGCTCAGGAAGCTGAAGTTTTCTTTGCTGGGATGGTGAAGGCTCATCCTGAAGTCCCTCTATCTCCAAGTGCCTCAACTCTTGCAGCTGCTCCTGGCCCATCAAATCCTCCACCTTTAAGTCCAGCTGTGGTGGATGCTTTTGAATCTACCCCGTTTGATCCGAAGAGGAAGTAGGATCAAGTAATCTTGTTTTTTTTTTGTAATGAAACAATATTTGGAATGATAGTTATGAATAATATAACCATGCTTCTTAAGCTATGACGCCTTAATTTTGATTCGACTGAATATGCTTGAATGCTTTTAATATTGTACACACTTTATTAAATGTGATCATTTTGAGGAAAGTACTCTGCCTAAGGGTTCCACATTTGTTTTAGTCCGAAGCAAAACTAAATAAGATATGCAGAAGGGATCTCCTTTGACGGTTTACCTGATAACGGAGGACTATTTTTTCCTTTGGTGATTTAACCTTCAAGGGAACCCTTCTTGAAATGGATTTGTGTGAAGTAAGTATGTTTGTACTTGTTTCTTCTTGTATTTTTTCGATATGGGACAATCTCGTGGCTCATATTACCGAACTTAGAGTCAGTGAGTATGACCTCCACAAGACCTCGGTATTGAGCGTAAGAGTAAGTTTTGCTAAACCGGACACTTAGGGTCCGAAGCGAATGAATTACTCCCCGGCACCGAGCCTGGGGGGAGGTTTGCCGAGCTGGACACTTAGAGTCTGAAGCGAATGAATTACTCCCCGGCGTTGAGCCTGAGGGGAGGTTTGCTGGGTCGGACACTTAGGGTTCGAAGCGAATGAATTACTCCCCGGCATTGAGCCTGAGGGGAGGTTTGTTGGGCCGGACACTTAGGGTCCGAAGTGAATGAATTACTCCCCTGTGCTGAGCCTGAAGGGAGGTTTGCTGAGCCAGACACTTAGGGTCTGAAGCGAATGAATTACTCGCCGGCGCTGAGCATGAGGGGAGGTTTGATGGGCCGGACACTTAGGGTCCGAAGCGAATGAATTACTCCCCGGCGCTGAGCCTGAGGGGAGGTTTGCTGAGCCGGACACTTAGGGTCCGAAGCGAATGAATTACTCCCCGACGCTGAGCCTGAGGGGAGGTTTGCTGGGCCGGACACTTAGGGTCCGAAGTGAATGAATTACTCCCCGGCGCTGAGCCTGAGGGGAGGTTTGCTGAGCCGGACACTTAGGGGTCTGTAGCGAATGAATTACTCCCCTGCGCTGAGCCTGAGGGGAGGTTTGCTGAGTCGGATACTTAGGGTCCGAAGCGAATGAATTACTCCCCAGCGCTGAGCCTGAGGAGAAGTTTAACTGAACCATCGTATATATATTCATCATCATTTCATTTTTTTTTTTTTTTTTTTAAACAACTTGTCATGAAGCCGAAGAGTCAAAAATGATAGGAGGCCAAGAAAGCGAGTAACAGTGGATGGGAAGTTTCCTATTCGTTTATTTTGGAGACTTTCTTCCACTGAGACTCCCTTCTTGGCGACCAAATGTAGTGGATTACGCATATATCAGCTGCATTCTTTTTCTACTTTTATCCGATGTGGGACATAAATTAAATTTTGTCAAAAAGGTCAGTGTAAGGAATGCCTCTGGTATTGGGCTTAGCCGCCTTTAATACCAGTGGGCTCTCCTTACACTGTAGTCAACTATTTGAATATTCTCATATATAACAAAATGTAAAACATACTTTTTTTTATCGATGTGGGATAGAGAGCTTTAAATATAGGCAATAACTTGGGTTTTTTTAAAAAAGAATCATTGTGAAGAATGCTTCTTGATAACTTGATTGCTTTGAATAAGAATTGCATAATGCGTAATATGCATAAAAATCGCATAATTATAGGGTACTAGTATGGCCCCCATTTTTATGGAAAGAAAGAAATGAAGTAAAATTGTACCGAATACGATGGAAGCAACATAAAGAAATAACTTGACTGATTGTGGGCATAAGCAGCCTTATTTGTGAAGAAATTCTAGCAAAATTGACAAACTTATCTAATGGTAATACCTTTTAAGGTGTATTGCATTCCAAGGACGCGCAATGGGACGTCCGTCAGCTTCGGCCAAATGATATGCTCCCTTCCCCACTACTTCGGTAACCCTATAGGGTCCAATCCAATTAGGTTCCAGTTTCTTTACATGAGCTGTCTCTTGCTTCAAAACCTAATCGCCTACCACAAAGCTCCTGAACCTGACGCGTTTGTTATAACTGTTACGCAACTGTTGCTGACATGAAACAAGCCTAATTGTCGCAGCATCCCTCTTCTCGTCCAGGAGATCGAGGCTGTGTTCAAGCTGCTGACCGTTGTTTCCTTCAAGTAACAAGAATGTCCGAAGGGTTGGAACTACCGCCTCGGTTGGGATCACAGCTTCGGATCCATAAGCCATGGCAAATGGACTTTCCCCCGTGGGCCACCGTGGAGTAGTTCGGTACGCCCAAAGCACCTGAGGGAGATTCTCGTACCATTTTGTTTTGAGTTTCTCTAACTTCTTCTTTAAACAATTGAAAATGGTTCGGTTAGTTATTTCAGCCTGTCCATTCCCTTGTGGATGACTGACTGCAGCTAGCTTTTGTACAATTCCATGCTCGGTGAAGAATTTTCTTGTACTCTTATTGTCGAGGTTCTTACCATTGTCCATCATAATGACTTTTGGTACCCCAAACTAGCAGATGATGTTGTTCCAAAGGAAATTCTTTACCTGCTCATGGGTCACACTTGAGTAAGCCTCGATTTCCACCCATTTCGTGAAATAGTCTGTAGCTAGCAGCACGTATTCCTTTTGTTCCACGGTCTTGGGTAAAGGGCCCACCATATCAATCCCCCATTGTGCGAACGGCCATGGATTTGCCATTGCATGCAAATCTTCGGCAGGTTGATGCTTCATTGGACCGTGGCGCTGACACTTATCACATCTCCCAGCATACTCTTCAGCATTCCGAGCCAAGTACAGCCAGAAGTAGCCTTGAGTTAGAACCTTATGTGTAAGGGATCTGCCTCCAGAGTGGTTACCGCAATCTCCATCATGAATCTGTTTCAACACCACAAGAGCCTCAGTAGGGCTTAAACATTTCAGGTTAGGACCTAAAAATGACTTCCGATATAACTGGTTGTTGATGATGGCATATTTAGCTGCGGTGAGTCTGAGCTTCCGCGCCTCAGTTTTTTGGTTTGGAAGAGTCCCATGCTTGAGGTAGGCTTCCAATGGATCAATCCAACATGGTTCTCGCGGAATGACTGGAATCACCATTACTTCTTGCTGAGGGTTGATGCTGGGTTCATCCAGGACGTCAATTGGCATAATCCGAGTTAGATCTTCATTTGAGGATGACGCTGCTGTGGCCAATTGATCTGCTTCAGCATTCTCAACATGAGGTAACTAATGGAATTTGACTTGATTGAATCCTCGTGTAACATTCTCCACAGCTTCTTTATATGCTTTTATCCTTTCCTTTTTGGGATGAAACTGACCTGTCACTTGATTTATAACAAGCTATGAGTCACTAAAAACTTTTAAACAACGTACCTGAAGGCTGCTGGCCAATCGAAGACCAGCAAGTAACGCCTCATATTCAGCCTCATTGTTTGTAGTAGGGAAATTCAAGCAAATGGACTGCTGCAACTTGGTGCCTTCGGGTGTTGATATGACAACCCCAACTCCTGCACTTGTTTGGTTTGAAGAGCCATCGACCCGAAGCTCTCACTGTGGTTTTGGGAGTTCTGGCTCTTCAGGAGTGTCCTCATATTCTAGAAGAAAGTCTCCTAAGGCTTGTCCCTTGTGCGACACCTTCAGCTCATAAGTTATGTCAAAGGAACTGAGCTCGATAGCCCATTTGGTAATTCTTCCAGATAGATCTGGCTTAGAGAGTATACCCCATATAGGATAGTTGGTGAGTACCACAATGCTATGAGATTCAAAATAATGCCGAAGCTTCTTCTTGGCATAAACCAAGGCTAAGATGATTTTCTCCGCTTTGCTATACCATGTCTCCGCATCTGTCATTGTCTTACTTGTGTAAAAGACTGGATGTTGATTCTTTCCTTCTTCTCTAATCAACGTTGCACTTGTCGCTATGCTAGAAATTGCTAAGTACATAATAAGAACTTCTCCGGGTTTTGGAGAGGATAGAATTGGAGGTTCGGCCATATAACGTTTCAACTGATTGAGGGCCACCTGCTGCTGAGGTCCCTATATATCCTTATTCTTAGATCTTATGGCATCAAAGAATGGTTTGCACTTATCTGATAATCGGGATATAAACCGACTGAGGGCTGCAATCCGACCAGTAAGAACTTGCACCTCCCTACAATTTTTTGGTTCCTGATTCTGCATGAGGGCCTTAGCCTGAGCCGGGCTTACCTCTATCCCTCTTTTATTCACTATATAGCTGAGGAATTGACCCGATGATACTACAAATGAGCACTTGGAAGGATTCAGCTTCATGTTGTATTTCTTCAGAGAATTGAAAACTTCCTGGAGGTGCTTCGGATGGTCTTCCTTCTTCACACTTTTGACCACCATGTCATCTATATATGCTTCAACTGTCTTCCCTAACAAATTGTCAAATATCTTATTAACAAGGCGTTGATAAGTGGCCCTGGCGTTCTTCAGCCCGAAGGGCATGACCCTGTAACAATAAGTCCCCTTTTCTGTAATGAAAGCAGTTTTCTCTTCATCTTCTGGGTTCATAGGAATCTGATTGTATCCCGAGTACGCATCGAGGAATGTCAGCCTCTCGTAGCCAGTAGTAGCATTAACCATCTGATATATCTTTGGCAGAGGGAAGCTATCTTTAGGGCAAGCTTTGTTAAGGTTGGTATAGTCTACACAAACCATCGATTTTCCATTCTTCTTTTGTACGATCACCACGTTTGACAGCCATTGTGGATATTGCATTTCTCGAATGAAACCTGCTTGCAACAACTTGTTCACTTCTTCAGCTATAATGCGATTGCGTTCGGGAGCAAACCTTCGATGTTTCTGCTTAACCAGTTTGAACTCCGGATGTACCTTCAAGCTATGGCAGGAGACTAAAGGATCGATTCTTACCATGTCCGAGTGATCCCATGCAAAAGCATCTGCATTGCTCCGAATGACATCAATTAATGCTTCCTTTTCTTCAGACGTGGAATAAGAGCCTAAATAAGTGACCTTATGAGTGTTACCGAGGATAACTTCTACGGCTTCGAAGGTCTCCTCGGTAGGCTTCGTAGCTTCTTCTTCCTCCTCTACCTTAAGATACTTGGGCAGAGGGCTCTATAATTGCTATTTGAATATATTTCTGGAAATCACGCCTGGTTGAAGCTGTCTAGACACCTTCTTTGCTTCAGCTTGCGTCAGCATATAGCATTCTTTCGCAGCGACTTGATCACCCTATAGGTTAATAACCTCTTTTTCATCCGGAGATAAGCACCGCATCACCTGATGAAGGGTGGACGAAACTCCTTTCATCTGGTGTATCCAGCCTCTTCCCATGATGAGATTATAGGAAGAATGGATCTCTGTTAAGACAAAGTTCTCCTTCAGAGTCCTCTTTGCTGCAGTAATGGATAAGTCTATTACCCCAAGGGGATCTACTCTTGTGCCATCGAACCCCATCAATGGGCTGGAGGTAGGTCGAATAGATGATGACGGGATCTCTAGCTGCTCAAAGACCGTCTTTGTGATGATGTTGGCGCTACTCCCTGGGTCTATCAAAACCCTCTTGATCATGCAATTTGCCACTAAAAGACTGATGACCAATGGATCCTCGTGGGGGAGTTGAATTCTGGATAGGTCACTATCGCCGAATCTGATACTGATGCTACCCGAAGCGATAGCATTGACTGAGGATATCTTCCTGAGCTTATAGGTTGCCCTCAATCTGGATCTGTATACCTCCTCGGACTCTTGATCATCTTCAAATCTGTCATGTATTGCATGAATAACCTTTACTTGAGTACCTTTTACCTTGCGAGGATAGACCTCGCGGGGCTTTACATACTCCTTCGTCATGAAGTAGTCTGCCAACTCACCTCTGGCTATCATATTTTCTACTTGTTGTCTAAGGGATCTGCAATCATTAGTTGAATGCCCATAATCTCGATGATAAGCGCAATGCTTGCTTTTATCCCTTTGCTCCAAGGTTGCTTCATTGGCGGTGGGGCTGTGAACTTCATCTTATTCTCTTGGAAGAGCCGAGCCAAGGTAGTTTGGAGAGGTGTAAACCCTTCCTCTATCCTTTGCCTCTTCTCAGGTGCCTGGGTGATCGGCGTTGAGGCGCGTTAGCTTTTCTAAATTTTTGAATTTAGAATTCTCTTTCGAGGCTTGTTCTTTACTATCACGAGGGTGGCGTGCTGCACTCGGTGGGCTACATTTTCCTCGAGCCGAATGTAGATCTGGGCCCTGGCATTGAGAGTCTACATGTCGGGAGGAGAATATTTAACCAAGGAAGTGTGAAACTTTGTCCCCTGAATCATTGCAAGTTTAAATGTTTCTATAGCAGTCGCGAGATGACAGTTTGCTATTTCTGAGGCTTCCATGTTGAATCTAAATAAGAAATCCTGCACTGTTTCCCCCCTTTTTTTGCCTTACGGTGAAGAGGCTAGCAATACTCTTCTTTTGCTTCTTATTTCCATAGTATTGTGCTAGGAACATGGTGCACAGAGTTACATAATCTGGGATGGACTTATGTGGCCTATTCCTGAACCACTCTAGTGCTGCTCCTGTTAAACTGGTAGGAAAAACTCTACACATCCAAGGATCATTACGGTCATCCAAAGCCATCTTTTGGGCCTAATGATCTAGGTGCCGAGAAGGATCTTCCGTACCGTCAAACTGAGTAAAGGAAGGTATGGTAAATTTCTTGGGCCTTTCAACCATATACACATTGTCAGTGAAAGGAGTTTTCACCAGGGAGTTTTTGTGCTCTCTAGCCATCTCAGCGGGTGTCTGAATCTTCAAGAGTTTCTTCTCATCAAAGGCATCTTGAACACTTGCACCATCTGGAATTCCATTAGACCACACCGTGAGCTTATGGCTAGACTCAACTTGCTCATCCTGTGTGCGACGAGGGATGTTGTCTGAAGTGACAACCTCGAACCTTGCCCTCTGTTGTTGCTGAACTTTATTTGGCTGAGCCTCGTTGGGTCGTGCCCCATTAAGTGGAAGCCCGTTAACTGGAGGAATATTCTGATTAGAGGGTGCTGCTGTGTCACCTAGTGGTGGCGGTGGTGCCAACTAAGCCATCGCCGTTTGCAGAGTGTTATTCTGCTGTTGAAGCAAGGCGATCTGAGCCACGCTAGCTTTGTTTGCTTGACGAAGTACGTCAAACTGGTGTAGAAACTCTTCACGCATCTTTTGCATCAACTTCATCTGTTGATCTGTTGAAGATCCTTCGTTCGACATTCTGGATGGTAGTTGCAGGATTCACTTGTGAAACAAGAGTGGGAATATATTTGCACACTTTCCCACAGACGGCGCCAAAGTGTAGGTGCAAAATTCCGCTCAACCAATAATGATTGAGAAAAATAATACAACACACTCAAGAACAGTAAAAATAAATAAGAACAGTGTATAGAGAAGCGTAAAATTGCTTGGATCCATTTATTTGAGGTCTAAGCCTCTATTTATACACACAAATTGGTAGAATTAAGGTAGGACTCGCGTTGCTTGTCCTCCAATTCTTCCCATACATGACTTTCTTTACAAATAGAGTTCTTTCTATTGTATAATATTTCTTACGTAGAACTTGCCTTGTATAGAACTTCCTATCAAAGAATTCTCCTTTTATGATAAATCCTTCTACCGATAGGATTTGTCCAATCTTGGAAAACTGGGCTGAATATACCTTGAACCAGTTGGGCTTGAATAACGGGCCGGATGTTTGATGTTACCATATTGGGCTGATAATCTCTTGATTCGGGCTTCAACAGGGCTGAAGGTCAAATAACAGTAGTATTGGGCTTGTGAACAGTGATCTTGGACTAGCCTCAAACTCAATTTGGGTTTGAGCGAGGTGGGCTTCATAAACTCATAAGGATAAGTTTATATTTATGATGACGTGGATTATTCTCATTGGAGGGAGATTTTTCCCTCCACAGGAACATTACAGGAAGATTGATAAAGCAAATTGCCAAAATTATATTTAGGGAATTCCTAAAGAGTATATGGTCAATTTTTGAACGTGACAGGATGAGGCGCTCTCATTCTTGTTGCATTGTTGGAGAGAGGTAGATATCTGTAGGGTTCAGAAGAACCTTTCTATCATTGGACAAATTTACTGATAATCTTAAAGAAGGTTCCAATTATCAACCGATTGACGTGGTGGGCTTTGGTAATGACATAGTTTGCATCCTTGGTCATGTTGATGGGTAATTGATTCGTAAGATGTAATGATGATTGGGTCCTTTGGTTACTTGTCCTAACAGTAGTATCTCGGATATGGCTCGTTTGTATGTACATGGTATGTTGTGTCTGCTGTATAGATGGTTTTAGCTTACGCTGGTCTTTTCTTATTATTGTTTATGGACTTCTATATTCCTTATCTGCTGTATAGATGGTTTTAGCTTGCCACTGATTTTCTTCTTTTGATTTAGGGGGCCTGAAGGGATAGGTTATCAGAATGGTGGTGCGTAAAGACAAGCTTATGGTAATGAGTTGGATTTACGAGTATGGGTAAACCTATAATGAGCAGAACATTATTAAATTATGTCAGACTTGTAATGTATTTATGTTGGTAAGAGTTTTAATTGGGCTCGAGATTTGCTAGCTGATGTGAAGACCAACACTATGTATCCTCCTGGTTGGTTTGAAAAATTATATTATTGTTATATATATAAATTATTGTACTTTTAATGATCAATCTCTCTCTCTCTCAAATTAGACATAAAAGTCGAATAGTGTTTTTCCTGAATGCTAAACTTGTGGAGGATGATTTTTCATAGTAAAAGATTGTGCAGCCTGTCAATGGTTTATCCGGGATGAATAATCAACTAGACTGCAAGATCCTTTTTTTTTTTTTTTTCCTTATGGCAAGCGTATTGGCCCCACAATGCACGCCCTATTCAAATCACGAGTGCGATTCGAAAACGAAATCTCAAAGACTTACCTCCCGATCCTTGCCAACGCCATTATGCCCCAGGGGGCAAATTGCAAGATCCTTGAGA